GGGGGTATGGTGTATGCAGTGTGAGGGAGAGGGATGGATGGTGGTAGTAAAGAGGACTTGCACAGACCCACACGCCGAGAGCTACTACCGGCAGCGCCAGAGAAGGCTAACCGGCGAGGCGTAGCCGGTGCAATGCCGCGGTCCCGAACGCTTTCTTTACCCGGAATCCAACCCCCCCGCGCTCGACCCCACACTTTTTTCGAAACCCGGCCCCCAAAAAAATCCCAATGCCTGTTAAGACGCACCCCCCACACCCGCATGTTCTCCAACCCCCCCTCGCTTCGCAAAGACACCGGCTCAAACCACTCTTTCCGGCTCCAACAAGCTCCCCGCAAACGCCGTTCCGACATCGATTCGCACGCATTCCGAAACACTTCAGCGCCCGGTTCCAAGTCAAAAACGAAACGTGGTATTGAGTCAAAAGCAAACCGAGGGTATCCACCCGAGCCCAACCGCGGTGCTACAGCGGGTTATTGCGGAGGTGATGCCCGTGCCCTGGCGTGCTGTGCTGTGCAACGGCCCACTCAGATCCAGCCGATGAGACCCCTGGAGCGTGCACCGAACACGAGCGCCAGCAGCAGCACGAGCAGCACCCAACGCCGGCCCATCACGCCTTGGCGGGTCTCTTGATGCGCACGGTAGCCCCCCGCGAGATCGAGTGTTAGAGCGAACATCGAGCGAGCGAGATAGACGCGCGCGCGTGTGAAAAAAAAAATCCAGGTGGTAACCGCGCAGCGCCACGCCAAGATACGGAGATTCAAGGGCCGACGTCGCGCGCAGATGAAGGCAGTGGGGAGGGAAAAGAAACAGTGGGGAAGGAGGGCGTCAGCATGAGGAGGTCACGTGATTCAGGCCGTCCCGCAGCGTTTCGGTGAGCGTATCACGAGTGCAACAATGCAAGCAGGCATGGGCCGTGTGCAGGAGGCAAGGGAGAGGAGAGAGATAGACAAGGAATCCGCTGCTCAGTTTGCTGTTCATCGCCGTGGAGTGTGCGAGCGGGAGGGAGGGGAATGCTGCGAGAGGCCAGAGGAGACGCTGCGGCGGTGGTCACGAAGCAACACTTACGGAAGAGGCGGTCTTGGACTGGTGCGGGTTGTTGGGACGCGAGAACGAGACCGAGTAGGCGGCGAGCGCGCGCATCTTCTTGAGGTTGGCGTCGGTGTAGGGCGGGTAGCGCGACGCCATGACGGCCTCGATGATCTTGCCGAGGATGCCGGTGGAGGGGGCGTCGAGCGAGGCGCGCTGGTGGCTGAACTGGTCGAAGCTCGCCTTGCCGTGGTAGTTGCCGTAGCCCGAGGGGCCGGTGCCGCCAAACGGCAGCGCGTCGACGGCAAAGTGGAGCAGCGTGTCGCCCTGCACGCACGCGCCCGAGCGCGTGTTGTCAAAGAAGAACTGCTTCACCTTGCTGTCGCCGGCAAACAGGTAGAGCGCCAGCGGCTGGTCGCGCGAGTTGATAAAGTCCACCGCCGCCTTGACGTCGCGCACGGGCACGATGGGCAGCAGCGGCCCAAAGATCTCGCCGGACATCACCGCGTCGTCCACCCTGACGTCGGCGATCACGGTGGGTGCCAGGAACTTTTGGGCCTCGTCGCCCTCGCCGCCCAGCACCACCTTGCCCTTGGTGCCGGAGAGCATGGCATTGAGCCGCTTCCAGTGACCCGTGTTGATGATGCGCGCGTAGCTCTCCGACGCGTTGACACCACCCTTGAGCTGCGGGTAGAAGCGCTCGTAGGCCTTTTTGAGCTCGGCGACGAAGCGGTCCTGCAGCTCGTGCGGGATGAGCACGTAGTCCGGAGCGATGCACGTCTGGCCGCAGTTGAACGACTTGCCCCACAGGATGCGGTGCGCGGCGATGGCGAGGTCGGCGCTCTTGTCGACGTAGACGGGCGACTTGCCGCCGAGCTCGAGCGTGGTGGGGCACAGCCACTTGGCGGCCTTTTCGGCGATGATGCGGCCGACGGTGCCGTTGCCCGTGTAGAAGATGTGTTCGAAGCGCTGGTCGAGCACCGCCGTGGTCTCGGGGATGCCGCCGTTGACGATGCGGAAGCACTCGGGGTCGAGGTACTTGTTCCACAGCTCGGCGAGCAGCTTGGCCGTGTGGCCGGCCACCTCGGACGGCTTGAGCAGCACCGTGTTGCCGGCGGCGATGGCGCCGATCACGGGGCCCACCTGGACGGTGATGGGGTAGTTCCAGGCGCCGAGGACGAGCACGGTGCCCTTGGGCTCGGAGCGGACGGTGGCGCCGTGGGCAGCCCAGGCGAGGCCGGCCCAGGGCTTGGCGGGCTTGGCCCACTTGTCGAGCTTGTTGACCGTCTCGACGATCTCGTTGGTGGTGCCCATGAGCTCGGCAAAGACGCTCTCGAAGCGCGAACGGCCGAGATCCTTCTGGAGCGACTGGATGAAGTCGTCCTGGTGATCCTTGAACATGTAGGCGAGCTGCTTGAGCTGGTTCTTGCGGTACTCGATCGAGCGCGTCTTGCCGGTCAAGAAGGCGGCGCGCAGGTCCGAGACGATGCCCGGGATGGCATCGATGGGTGTGTACTGAAGGCCAGCCTCGGCGGCGGCGGTGGTTGCGGCGGCCATGATTGTGGGATGTGTGTGTGTGTGTGGTTGGGGGGATGTGGTGGTGGTGGTAGTAGTGGTGGATGATGAAGCTGAGCCGGGTGTGTGAGAGTGAGTGTGCGAGTGAGTGTGAGCGAGGCCGGAGTGCGAGCTAATGCGGGGTTGATGCGGACGATGCGCTGAATTCCAATTCACGCGGCTGCGGGTCTCCACCTCTCTTTGACGCGCCACAGTGACACCCTGGCTGCGAGAGCGGCGAGAGGGCGATGTGTCAGAATCGGAAAGCGAGCCGAAGGCAAGCCAAAGGAATCGCCGGAGCTTGGCTGGCGGTGGTTTGGCTGCGAGGTGGTAACCGCCGCTGCTGAGCTGCGAGATGCGCGCTTCGCCCATTTTCACGTCCGCTCCCACTCTCTCTCTCTCTCTCTCTCTCTCCCTCACATTCTCACGCCACTGCTCGGACCTTTTCTTTTCTTTTTCTATTTTTTTTTTCTTCTCGCCTTTTTTCGGTCCTTTTTCTTTTCCCCGCCGCCACCGCCGCTACTCGATTGCAATTCTTCTGGCACCTCACTCCGCACAGCATCACCACCGAGAGAGCACACATCGATACGCACGCGCCCTCCCTCATCCCCTCTCTCTCGCGGCTCTGCATGCATTGACGCTTGGGGCATGGCAAAGCTAGCGACCGGTCGTCCGATTGGCCCAAAGCACTCTATCCGGCAGCGAAGAGCATGTTGGCCCGCATGAGCAAAGCGGCGCTTATTTGTCGTACTTTGTGTGCTCGGTAAAGCAGAGTGAGCCGCGGATCCTGATGCGGTCAATGCGTCTAAGCGAGCCTGGCGCTGGAACGCGGCTCAACGATAGAAATGGCCCGTGTTGCTGTGTCACCGCGAGCAAAAGAGAGGCTGATGTTACACCGTCAAAGGTGACAAATTGACGAAAAATTGCTGTTAGATCCAAGTGTGGAGGCGCAGGGTCCAAGACTGCAGCCGCCCCTGCATGATGCGGCTGTCAGAGATAGAGAGAGAGCGGCCCAACTCAGCCTCCATCCGCTCTTCATCCAACACACACTCTCTCTCACTGCATCGACAGCGGCATCACCACCATGGCAACACCCTCCGAACAGTCATCGGCATCAGCCAACGCTGCTTCGTCTACAGACACTGCGGCGGCAGCGCCCACCGAGTCCACCCTCCCGACAAACACCCCAGCGGATCCTGCATCCACCTCGCCTCTGCCATCCACAAGCTCGGTCGCCTCGGCATCCATGCTCCCTCGCAGCACCGCACTAGCATCCACCGGCTCAGCAGCCAGCTCGGCAGCACCCGGCTCGGGCACCGCCACTCCCACCCCGCGTACACCCACCACCCAGACCGCAGTGTCGCCACGTCGCGCCTCGTCGAGCTTAGCCCACAACTCCGCGGGCGTCATCGCCGCTCGCGATTCTACCACCTCGGCACGTCGCATCCGACAGCACTCCACAGCCTCCGCAATGGCCTCCACCGATGGCTCCAACGCCATCCCTTCCATGTTTGGCCACCCCTTCCGCGCCGATAGCCCCGCTGGCTTCGTCGGGCCGCGTCCATCCCACACCACCCGCATTCAGCCGGCCTGGGTTCGCCCCGCAAGATCGCAACCCTCAAATCCTCGCGACCCTACCGCCTCAAACTCGAGCCCAAACGCTACCCACCTCAGCTGGTACTCGACCCCCATTCACTCACACCCGCATCAGCCCCAACCCTCTGCATCCACCACCAACCCGTCCCATCGCCGACCACACTCTCTCCACGACCCACCGGCTGCTCAGCATCGTACCCCGCCAGCAGCATTGATTGCCGACACGCAGCCGACGTTTGAAGAGACGACTACGATCTCGTTCACCTGGACCATTCGCGACCTGCACCTCCTGCGCGAAGAGGTCGAGCACTCGCCGCCGCCCTCCGAAGGCGGTCGCTCCGTCAGTGCGGGTGCGGGCAAGAGCGATATTTGGACCAACCCGCCCGTGTTTGGCGATGGAAAGTGGAAGCTCGAGCTGGTGCGCACCACTCGCAGTCTAGCATCCAACGACGAGCAAGTAGACCACCCGCACGACACCGATCCATCCGCATCCGTCGACAGCACAGACGCGACGTCTTCGCCCCCAACCGTCTCGGCGAGCATCACCATCCTCTCCGTCTACCTCACCGCGCTCGTGCTCGACTATACGCATGCCAACGTCGAGATCCCCGCGAGCATCATGTTGGGTCTGCGGCCCGTGCGCGCTCCCGTCGGCCGGCGAAATGCAGAAAACGGCGGCTGGTTGTGGCGTCGCTTCTACGACTACACCTTCCACAAGGACGCCGACCTGTTCACGTGCCACCATCTGCCGAGCGTCTCGCAGATGCTGCAGGATGAACAGGTGGCGGGACAGGATGCGATTGCGCTTACGATTCAGCTCGGGCTCGGACCGGGACATGTGCGCGAGTTGGAAGGGCACTTGGGAGGTGGTGCGGTGGCGAGGGTGCCTGTCGAGGTGGAGGGACATCATCTCGTGCCCAGGGCGGTGCTGACGTCGTTGCGCGGGTTGATGGATGATGCCAATACGGGCGATGTGCGTATCATCGTGCGCGAGAGGGGTGTCTTACTCCCCGGGGCCGAGAAGGAGGAAGCGCTTTCCGACGATGATGATGATGGCGGATCGAATCGGTCAGCTCGCATCGTACCGTTTCCTATTGGGTCGACGCATCCGGCTCAAGCTCGGGCGGAGGAAAGCGACGAGCAGATGTACGTGCGCGATCGCGTGCTGTGGGCGCACGCGAGCGTTCTAAAAAGTCGAAGCGACTACTTCCGCACCATGCTCGGCTCAGAGTTCAGCGAGGGTATCAGCCACGCGTACGGCTCGGGTGCGGCGCGCAAGGTTCGTACGCTTCGCATACCCGACGCCGACTTTGCGACGGTGTATTGGTTTTTGCGATACCTGTATACGGACGAGGTGGAGTTTGCGCCGCACGAAGACGTGCGCAGTGCAGTGCTGGATGACGAGTGGGCCAAACCCGCCGCCGTAGCTGGCGAGAGCGAGGGGGATGTTTTGGTCGAGTGGACACCGGTTTCGCAGCTCGACGAGGAATACGGGATGGAGCTGGGGCATGGACGCGAAGTGTCGGGGTCGTTTGTACATACGGCGACGTCCGGGTCGGTTCGACGTCGCACCAGCTCCAAACCGACCTCACCCGTCAAGGAGGGGGAGGGGGAAGGATGGGATGTGCACTCGCATCCGTGTAGTGCACCTGGGGCAGCGTCGGCGCTGGCGGTGTTTAGGCTGGCGCATCGGTACGAGTTGCACTCGCTCTCGCGGCTAGCAGCAGTCCATCTCGTCGACACGCTCACCCCACACTCGGCATTCCCCACGCTGCTGGCGACGAGCATGTACGCCGAGCTGCATGCGCGCATCAAGGCGTACGTCTACACGCACTGGCACACCGTCGCCGCCACGCACGAGTTCGAGACGTGCTGCGACCAAGTCAGCACGGGTGTCTGGGGCGCTGGTGCCGGTAAGACGATCAGCGCTTTTGTAGCCAGTCTCGTCTCACCCCTCGCTCAGCGTGTCTAACCCTCGCACACTCAACAATCACAGTTACGGTTTTTCTTTTGAAGAAGCATGAGCAAGTATGTACAGGGGGAAGACGGGGGGCTACTTGGACTTTTGCGCTTCCGAAACGAGGTTGTAGTCGCCAGCTTGGGAGCCGTCACCTTTTTGACGCAGCTTTTGCTCGGTGCGATCCACGCGGGCGTTGATCTTTTGGAATCCGTGCGAAGAGCCTACGAATCGAGCGAGGAATCCCACGACGCCATGCGGCTTGGAGTCGTAGTCGTCGGCCGGGTTGAGGTCGTTCCGCTGGCGCTGCTCGTCCATCTCCCGGAGTGCGGCGAGCATCTTTTCGCGCACCGTCTCGGTGAGCTCGCCTGCATCCTGGGCCGTGAGGTGCGAGGTGGGGATGGGAGCGAGCACCTTGATCCTAATCGTGCCGCTTTCGAAGCGCGACTTGGAGTCGAAGATCCGGTTGTAGTTCTCGCACACCACGGGCACCACCGGCACGCCCGCCTGAATAGCCAGGTGAAAGGCGCCCTTTTTAAACGGCAAAAGGTCCGGGGTGGCGAGGCCAGATCGGGTGCCTTCGGGGAAAATCCACAAGCTGAGGTTGTTCTTGTTCATGGTGTCGCCCACCTGCTTGAACGCCTTGATGCTGTCCTTGAGGTTCTTGCGGTTGATAAACACCGCGCCAGACAGCGTCATGAACTGGCCCAACAGCGGTGCGAACTGCAGCTCCTTCTTGGCCATAATCGATGCATGCCCGGGGAAGATCCGGCCCAAGTACAAGATGTCCATGGCAGTTTGGTGGTTGCCCACCACAACCGCGGGTCTAGCTTGGTCGAAATGCTCTTCGCCCTCGACGATGAACCGTACTCCCACGAGCGGGCTGACGAGACGCCAGAAGGACCTCGCCACGACGCGGTTGATGTTGAGCCTCTGTCCCGGGATGAGGGACATGACGATCGACACTACAATGCCCCAGAAGCTGCAGATGCCCAAGCCGGCGATGTAGATGAGCGAGTTGAGGTAGAAGCGCATGCGCTGGCTGCGGGGCGAGGCGAGTGCGACGAGCATCAGTGCACCCGCGGTGAGCGTACCGAGCGACTTGGAGAGCACCGCCATGGTGGCAGCGAAGATGGTGGTGACGAGAGAGAGCAATAGGTGGCAGGGTGCAAACACGCTAGAGGCAGAGCGCGGAGTCATGTAGCCCGCCGCCCAAAACAATGCAACGCAGACGGCGAGGATGGTGGAGAGATGCAAACCGATGAGGGAGTTTGGCAGTCGCGCGTTGAAAGCCCAGACCCACCTGCAAGGCGCGTCTCGCACGGTCGAATTTGCGAGCMGCCTCCGCCTCCGCCTCCGACTTCCGCATCGGACGCACAACTCGGAGCAATGCCATTTTTTGATTCGATAAAGTGTATGTAGAGACGATCTGACAATTAGGGAAAAATGCCGCACTATGCGACATGTCGGACATGCAAACAGGATTGCCGAAGCTAGCCCTCATACCTGCGAGCCGAAGCACAGACCTAGCCGAATCACGCCAATCGTCCCCGCACCGGCGACTTTGCGTTGCGGGGTACAGGATGGTCGCCGTGATGCTTGAGATCTCCGACGCGAACCACACTCGCTACCACACCCTCGCTTCCAAGGGTTGTGCCGCGACAGTGTGGGGTAGAGAAGCCCACCGGCGTACTCGGCGTCCGTGCACAACGCTCGCTTGGCCTGCGCAGGTCGTCATCGAGTTGCGCGACCGGCGACCAGCAGCTCCATGTCTCTCATGTTGAGGATGTGTTTGGGTGCGATGGCGGGTGGGAAAGTCGCCGGTCGAATTGTAGGAATGCAGGAGGTGCAGCTTACCCCACACGGGGGATGAGGGGGAGACACTCTCGCCGGTGATGCACCTGGACCCTGACGCAAGTACCTCCCGACTGCCCTCCCTTCAAGGAAGCATATATACCCCCTCCCCTGTCTCTTGAGCCCCATTCCTCGGTAGAGACGGATCAAGAGCGACACGGCTTCCAAGCATTGACGATGTGGATCAAGCGCGCCATCACGCTGTCGCCACTGGCGCTGCAGCACGTCAACTTCTCGTTCCCCGACTGCTCTCCGGGCACGCCTCTGTCGGCTAACGCGGTGTGCGATACTTCGCTCGACTACTGGACGCGCGCCACCTCGCTCGTCGCCGAATTCTCCACGCAGGAGCTCATCAACAACACAATCAACACGGCTCCCGGCGTGCCTCGTCTCGGCATCCCGCCCTACCAGTGGTGGACCGAAGCGCTGCATGGCGTGGCTGGGAGTCCGGGCGTCAATTTTGCCGACGATGTCGAGAAGCCGTATGGATCGGCGACGAATTTTCCACAGATCATCAACCTGGGCGCGACGTTTGACGATGCCCTGTACGAGCAGGTGGCGACGCATATTGCCAACGAGACGAGGGCGTTTAACAATGCCGGCAAGGCGGGGTTGAACATGTACAGCCCGCTCAACATCAACTGCTTCCGCGATCCGCGCTGGGGCAGGGGACAGGAAACCGCGGGTGAGGACCCGCTGCACATGAGCAGGTACGCCGTCAAGATGGTCCAGGGCCTCCAGGGCCCCGACGAGGACAATCTCAGACTGGCAGCGACGTGCAAGCACTACCTTGCGTACGATCTGGAAAAGTGGGATGGGGTGGAGAGGTACCAGTTCGACGCGGTGGTTAGCAAGCAGGAGCTCGCCGAGTTCTATCTGCCCCAGTTCCGCGCGTGTGTGCGCGACGGCAAGGCGGTGACGCTCATGACGTCGTACAATGCGGTGAACAACGTGCCGCCCTCGGCATCCAAGTACTACCTCGAGACTCTGGCGCGCCAAGAGTGGGGGCTGGACAAGAAGCACAACTACGTCACGTCCGACTGCGATGCTGTGGCGAATGTGTACGATGGACACCACTATGCCGATAGCTATGTTCAGGCGGCGGCGGACTCGATCAATGCAGGTACGGACCTCAACTGCGGCGCGACGTATAGCGATAATTTGGCACAGGCTCTCGAACAGAATTTGACGAGTGTAGAGACGATTCGTACCGCGGTCGCGCGCATGTACGCCAGCCAGGTCCGCCTCGGCCTGTTCGATTCTAAAGACGGTCAACCGCTGCGGGGGCTTGGGTGGGAGGATGTGAATACCAAAGCCGCGCAGGATCTGGCGTACACTTCGGCAGCGGCGTCGGTAACGCTGCTCAAGAACAACGGTACGCTGCCAGTGGATGCCGCGATGAAGGTGGCGGTGATCGGCCCGTACTCGAACGCGACCTTTGCGCTGAGGGGTAACTATGCCGGACCGGGTCCGTTTGCGATCACCATGACCGAAGCTGCCCAGCGCGTGTTCAGCCACGCCACCATCAGCTCGACCAACGGCACCACGATTTCGGGCGCGTACAATCAGACCGATGCGGAGGTGGCGATGGACCTTGCTCGGGACGCCGATGTGGTCGTGTTTGCCGGTGGAATCGACCCGACGATCGAGAGCGAGGAACTCGACCGTTCCACGATCGCATGGCCGCCGAACCAGCTCCAGCTCATCCATACGCTCGGCGGCATCGCCAAAAAGATGGCGGTGGTCCAGTTTGGAGGTGGCCAGATCGATGGTGCGTCGATCAAGGCCGACGGTAACGTCGGTGCGCTGTTGTGGGCGGGATATCCGGGTCAGAGCGGTGCGCTGGCCGTGATGGATGTGATTGCGGGCAACACTGCCCCCGCTGGAAGGCTGCCCATCACGCAGTATCCTGCGGAGTACATCGATGGGCTGGCAGAGACGACCATGGCACTCAGGCCGAATGGAACGTATCCAGGAAGGACGTACAAGTGGTACAGCGGAACGCCAACTTACCCGTACGCGCACGGACTGCACTACACCACGTTCAAGGCCGAGCTCGCCCAGCCGGCACCGTACACCATCGCCACCGCGGGGTACGCCGAGTTCGAGCAAGTCGCGAAGGTGCAAGCGACAATCACGAACACCGGAAAGCGGGCGTCGGATTATGCGGCACTCGTCTTTGCGAGGCACACCAACGGTCCAGCACCTCATCCGAACAAGACGCTGGTGGGGTATAAGAAGGTCAAGGCGATCGCGCCCGGCGAGAGCAGGAGCGTAGAGGTGGAGATCACCCAGGCTGCGCTGGCGAGGGGTGATGAAGAGGGCAATCTGGTGCTCTATCCTGGCAAGTACGAGCTCGAAATGGATACCGAGGAGAATGTTCTTGCCAAGACGCAGCTGGTGCTCCAAGGCGACCAAGCGAGTGTGGTGCCCTGGGTCAAGGGCGACACGTCCTAGCCCTCCTTCCCTCCCACAATGCGAAATCCGAGCCGGTTTTGAACACGGCGTGCTGCTGGGTGAATGAGATTGACATTGCATGATTCCTTACGCGCCGACGCCTTCGGGCGCCTTGGCTACCGCCTCGAGCCGGAGCAGCCTCTGCACCTCTGCATCCCTGCCCTCCTCCTCTGCCTCGTGTGCGAGCTTGGCCGCATGTCGCTTCTTCCACTCGTCCGCCAGCGCCTTCTGCGAGATGGTGCGCGAGGCGATGACGAGCTTCCACCACTTGAGATACACCTCCTTGGCCTTTGCTTCTGCCTTGCCCTCCAGCTTCGCGTCCATAGCATTGGCGAATCGGGCGTAGAACTGCTGCTTGGGAACGCGTGCGAATGCCGCACCGTCCTGGCCCTGGACGAGAGCTTCGACGTTGGCAGGGGTGATAAAGGGCGAGGCGTATTTGAGGATCCACTCTGCAAGACGAGCTGGAGTCCAGAAGAAGATATTGCGGCCTTGCGGGTCGGGTTGCAGCTGGATGCGCGCATGCGGGGCCGCTACGAGCGCGGCAGCATAGCGCAGCGTGTTGAGCGTAGCAGGCTGGTCGACGAGGTCCGGGCTGGCCGTGGCGATGAAGACGGTGTGCGTCGGCTGGCGCGCATACAGGTCAAACGCCTCCTTGAGCGCCAGCGTCAACTTGGAGCTTCGGAACGGAATGTGCGGCGGCGCACCGTTGGCCGAGGGCGCGGGGGAGGTGCGTGCACGGATGCACTGCTTGAGCGTCATGAGCGAGGTATTGATCGCAACGGTTTCGGCCATACGTGCCTGTGCCTGTGTGGGCGAATGGTCAGCGGCGCGTTCGGAGCCCGCGAGATCCACGAGCTGCAAAACACCGGGAGTGGCGTTGGCATCGAGCTTGGAGCGGCAGATGATGCGGATGAGCGCATGCGATCGCGAGCTGTGCGGATTCTTCTCCGTGCCGCGCGTGATGCGCTGCGCCCAAGCTGCCTCGACGTGCGATAGCAGCTCGTCGGCGCTCGAGACGGTGCGCAGCGTGGCGCGCGCAAACGTGCTGCTCGCCTGCAGCGTCTCGGCGACCATGACGCGCGTGTTGCTGGCATCGAGCAGGTCGTTCTGGGCCTTGCCGTACAGCTCGATCGCGCACACCTCGATGTGGCACGAATCGGCGTTGGCGGCCACGAGCGCCGAAATCGCGAGGCGCGAACACTGCGATAGCGTATGCGTCTTGCCGCTCCCCGTCTGGCCGTACGCCAGCACGGTGGCAAACCCGCCGGTGAGGACGAACGGGATGAGCGGCGCAATGTGCGCGCGGAAAACGTCGTCGCTCGTCGATGCGGCGAGGTAGGCTGCATCGGCGGCAAAGGTGTGCGGAGTGTACTCGTCCGCGGAAGTGTGCAGCTTGGTGCGCGGCTCGTTGACGGTCAGCTCGCCCGTGGAGGCAGCCTCAACGAGCCCCGTGGTTGACGCGGTGTCGAGCAGCGAAGGCCGCACGCGAAAGACCACAGTAAAGTCACGCTCCATGATGATGTGCTTCGAGGAATCGCCAGGATGATAGGAGGGGATGGCGAGGACAAGCGAGAAAGGTGTTGGTGTCAAGTGTTGCTCTCGCGCTGCTGCAGGCAGCTAGCTGAACATGCGTGTGTGTGCCTGGACCCACCTCCCCCGCGCTGCACGTCGAGCAGCGTCGCACAGCAGCGTTGAATCAGATTCGCCCGGCGTCGGACAAGGCCGAGCGTGTGTTTTTTGAGAGTGTAAGATCTTGACCTTCTTATCGCCTCGAAGGCGGGGTTTGGAAGCGGAAGCGGTTGCAGCGGAGCACGTTTGGCCGTCGGAAACGGCGGCGGCCTGTCCAGTACGGCTCACCGCCCGCAAAGGAAGGAGGCAAGCTCGCTTAGCGCCTTTTGCCTTCGCCACGCTGTGCAGATGAAACGCGCATCGGCAGACGCTAGTCCGAGGTCGGCTGTTGCACATCCCCCCCACCTTGTCTTGCCACCTCGTGCCACCCGGTGCCACCTGGTCAGCTGAGCCGCACGCTGATTGGGGGCGTTCCGAACAGCCGCGTCGGCTCGAAGCGAGGAAGCGAGATAACAAAGAAGCCTTCTTGGCAAACGGATGCAGGTACACCAAAGAAGGAAATCTTCGTGGCCAACCCAACGGCCACGCGCGGAGAGGGAGAGGAGGTGAAAAGACATATATACTTCTGGCGCACCAGCCTCTGCATCGCTCTGCCACAACAACCCAACCACGCATTCTTTCAACCATGGTCGCTGCTGTATACAAGAGCGCATCGCTGCTGCTGGTGCTGCAGCTCGTGGCGCTGGCCACTACGGCCGCTGCTTCGCTCATCACCGAGCGGAACGCGGCGTCGGGAGCGTGGAAGCTCGAGCACCACCTGGGCAACCTCTCGCCGTACTTTGACGCACCCGTGGAGGGACACGTGTCGTCGGGCGTGCCTGAGGGTTGCGAGGTGGAGTCGGTGTCGCTCATCCACCGTCACGGCTCGCGCGGTCCGATCAGCCAAGAGATCGGCACGGTGCGAAACCTGTCGTACTACCTCAACAACCACACTGCGCAGCTCAGCCAGCCTGCAGCCAAGCTCCCATCGCAGTTTGCGTTCCTGGCGGGAGAGGGGTGGAATGCCGACAAGCTCAAGCAGGACGACTTGACGGCGGTGGGACGACGCGAGCTGTTTGAACACGGCGTGCAGATGCGTCTCGACTACCCCAAGCTCAACACGACGCTCTTCCTCGCCGGCCAGCAGGACCGTGTGGTGGAAAGTGCGCAGTGGTTTGCGGCCGGGTACCTGGGCAAGACGGCCAACACGACGGGCAGGCTCGACGTGATTTCCGAGAGCCTTGGGGTCAAGAGCTACATTACGCCCATGGAGACGTGCAAGAACTGGACGTACTCGTCCGGCGGCAAGCCGGTGAGCGAGTGGGGGGCCGTGTACCTGCCTCCGATCGCCAAGCAGTTCAACACGCAGCTCAAGCGCGCCTACCCGTGGATCAACATCACCGCGGACAACGTGCACGGGATGCTGTGGGCGTGTGCATACGATCTGGCCACCACCGGCTCGGTCGAGCGCAGTCCGTGGTGCGGCGTATTCAGCAGGCAGCAGATCGAGCAGTTTGAGTACGAACTCGACCTGCTCATGCGCGGCGCCTTTGGGTACGGTCTGCCCAACTCTTCGGGCCAGGTGATGGGATCGCTGTTTGTCTCGAACCTCACGCAGCGTCTGACGCACCCGGAAGAATTCACCGAGCCCGACGGAGCGCAGAGGACACTGTTCTTCGACTTTGCACACGATACCACCATCGATCTCATCCTCACCTCGCTCGGCCTTGCCGCGGACAAGTCGTACCCCACCACCGGCCCGGTCAAGCCCGACCGCAACTGGAGGACGAGTGTGCAGGTGCCGTTTGCGGCTCAGATGGAGTGGAGGAAGCTCAAGTGCAGCAAGAAGGGCGGCAGCAAGATCCAGCTGCGCCTCAACAAGGCTCCTGTCGATCTGGGCGTCCTGTGCAAGACCGACGCCACGGGCGCGTGTGATCTGGACGACTTCCTCGGCAGTGAGGCGGTCAAGAAGGCGAACAAGATCCAGATCGGTGATGACACCTGGACCGCCGCTTGTGGCAAGTAGAGCCGAGCAGTCACCAATGCAATGGATCGCTCAATTTAGCCCCAAAGAGTTTGTGTGTATGCTGGCTTGACTTGAGCGAGGTGAGCGGCGAGATACGGAAGGCGACAATAAGAATCTAACAAACAGCAATTTGGTGCTGTCCAAATATGTGGAGGACTTCGGCAGTCTTACGCAAAGCAGCGTTGGAGGCGGTCAATGCGCCGCGCTCTCGACGCGGACTCTGTCCGAAAGAACAGCTCGCCTTGCATCCACCACCAGCTCCTCATCCGCTCATGCTCCTTCTTCGCGCCGTGTCGCCACTTGCTCGCCCGTCCACACGCATCCCTATCTCCACTTTCACTGCGACTTGGCGACGAAATATGGCCAACTCCTCATCCGCGCCCGAACTGCCGGTGTTCGAAAAGACACCGCTGCCCGACTTTTCGCGCACCAACCCGCTCGGTGCAGGCAAGTACGTGTCGACAGCCGCATGCCTCATCATCGGCGACGAGGTGCTGAACGGCAAGACCAAGGACAGCAACTCGAACTACCTCGCCAAATTCTGCTTCGACCTGGGCATCGATCTGCGCCGCATCGAGGTGATCCCCGACGATCAAGAGACGATCGTAGAGGCCGCACGTCGACTCACGGATCAGTTCGACTGGGTCGTCAGCAGCGGTGGTATCGGACCTACGCCGGACGACATTACATACGAAAGTATGGCCAAGGCGTTTGGTGCCGAGCTCGAGTACGATGAAGAGGTGGTGCGTAGGATGGCGGAGAATCTCAAGGCTAGACAGGTGAATACCGACGTTACGCCGGATATGATCACCGCACGCAAACGCATGGCGCTCTTTCCGAACAAACATGCCGAGGTGATCTTCCCCACCGAAAGGTTGTGGGTTCCCGTCGTGCGCATGGCGGGTAAACTCTGCATCCTCCCTGGCGTGCCACGACTGTTCGAAGCGTTGCTCGACGGTATGGAGAGCTACATCCCCCTCGACCCCAACCGACCCCGTCCCTACAGGGTGCTCATCCACACGCGTCTGCCCGAAAGCAACATCTCCCCCTTCCTCGTCAAGCTTACGGACAAGTGCAAGGACAAGGGCATCAAGGTCGGCTCGTATCCAAAGTGGAATAACGGCGTAGACGTCTCGCTCATCGGGAACGATTGGGATGAACTGGAGAAGCTCATTCCAGAGGTCGAGAAGGAGGTAGAGGGCAAACTCATCGAGTCCGGCCAGCTCGGTAAGACGCGCGAACCCCAACAGCAGCACAAGATCTAATCTCACTCTCACCACACACACACACACACACACACACACACACCCACACACACACACACACACACACACACACACACACACACACACACACACACACACACACACACACACACACACACACACACACACACACACACACACTTGGCACACAACAAGAGCTGGAAATGTAAACCTTCTCGGATTCAAATACCAAATGCAGGAACAAGTGAAAGAGTGATGAGAAACGCAGATGTAGATGCGGATGCAGACGCGGGCGCGACGCTCAGTCCAGAGGATCCTCCTCGATGCGAGCATAGTCGTCGTCGTCATCGTCGCTGTCGGACATGGCCACGTCGTCGGCGCCATTGGCCGTGCTCGCCTCGTGGTTGGGCTCCACCACCAGGCCGTTGCGGTGCTTGTCGAAGCGCACTCGAATCTCTGCATCCTCCTTGATGTCAATCCTGCCGGACAGAATGAGGATCGACAGCGGCGACAACAGCTCCTGCTGGATCGACCGGTTGAGCGGCCTGGCGCCCATCGTGGGCGAGAATCCAGTCGCCACCAAAAAGTCCTTGGCCGCATCATCAAGCACGAGCTTCGACTTGCCGCCGTTGGCCACGATGCGCTGCTCGATCTCGCGCAGCCTTACATCCACAATCGACTTGACGTTGCGGCGCGAGAGCTTGCTAAAGACCACGATGCTGTCGATACGGTTGACAAACTCGGTGGGCAGCGCCGCCTTGATGCTGCCCATGACGAGCTGGCGCGTCGCATCGCCCATCTCGTCCTCCTCGGCCTCGTTGATGTACGCCGAGCCCAGGTTGGACGTCATGATGATGATCGTGTTGCGGAACGACACCTGTCTGCCCTGGCTGTCCTGCAGGCGCCCTTCGTCGAGCACGCCCAGGAAGAGCTGCACAAACTCGCGCGACGCCTTTTCGATCTCGTCGAGAAGCACAATGCTAAACGGCTTGCGACGCACCGCCTCGGTCAGCACGCCGCCCTCCTCGTGCCCCACGTAGCCCGGAGGCGCACCAATCAGGCGCGAGATCGAGTGCTTCTCCGAAAACTCGCTGCAGTCGATGCGCACCATGGCGTCGGCCGAATCGAACATGCACTTGGCCAGCGTGCGGCTCAGCAGCGTCTTGCCCGAGCCCGACGATCCGGCAAAGAGGAACGATGCGATGGGCCGATTGGCATCCGCCAGCCCCGAGCGCGACAGCCGGATCGCCTGCGCCACGCTCTTGACCGCCTCGTCCTGGCCGATGACCTCCTTGGCCAGCGTGCGCTCGAGGCGCAGCAGCTTGTTCTTCTCCGACTCGAGCATGCGCGACACGGGGATGCCCGTCCAGCGCGACACGATGCTCGCGATCGCATCCGCCGTCACGGCGTTGTTGTCCGCATCGCGCCCTTCCTCCTCGCGCCGGCGCTCGGCCGCCTGGAGCTGCTGCAGCTTGGTCTCGAGGTCGGGCAGCGCGTAGAACTTGAGGTCGCTCGCCGTGGCGAGGTCGTACCTGCGCTCGGCCTCGGCGATCTTGGCGCGCACCTCCTCCATCTTGCGGCGCACGCTGTTGATCTCGTCGCCCTTGGCCTTCTGCGCCTCGTACGCCGCCTTTATGGGTGCGAGCTCGTCGTCGATCGCCTGGATCTGCTTGCGAGTCTCGTCGAGCGACTGCTTGGACTGCGCATCCTTCTCGCGCGACAGCGCATGCACCGCAATCTCGAGCTGCAGCCGCTTGCGCTCCAGCCTGTCCACCTCTTCGGGCACCGTCTCGCGCGAGACGCGCACGTCGGCGCACGCCTCGTCGACCAGGTCGATGGCCGAGTCGGGCAGACGACGATCGGTAAGGTAGCGCTTGGCGAGCTGCGCGGCCGAGACGATGGCGGCGTCGAGGATGCGCACGCCGTGGTGTACCTCGTACTTGTCGCGGATGCCGCGCAGGATGGCGATGCAGTCCTCGACGCTGGGCTCGTTGACCAGGATGGACTGGAAGCGGCGCTCGAGCGCAGCGTCCTTCTCGATGTACTGACGGTACTCGTTGGCGGTGGTGCAGCCGATGACACGAAGCTTGCCGCGCGCGAGCATGGGCTTGAGCAGATTGGCCGCATCCATGCCGCCGCCGGAGCTGCCCTGGCCGGCCATGAGCAGATGCATCTCGTCGATAAAGAGGATGCAGGGGGTTCCGTCGGCGGTCATCTTTTCAATGTCTGCGAGCACCGACTTGACGCGCTCCTCGTACTCGCCGCGGTATTTTGCGCCTGCCATGAGGCCGCCGACGTCGAGGCTGAGGATCTTGCCGAGCAGGTTGGGTGGGACGTCGCGGTCGACGACGCGCTGTGCGAGGCCTTCGACGATGGCGGTCTTGCCGACGCCGGGGCTACCGATGAGCACGGCGTTGTTCTTGGTCCTGCGGGAGAGGACACGTACGGCGCGGCGGATCTCGTTGTCGCGGCCGATGACGGGGTCGAGGGATCCTTCGGCGGCGAGCTGGGTGAGGTCGGTGCAGTACTTTGCGAGCGCATCGTAGCCGGCTTCTGCGCTCTTGGAGTCGATGTGGCGGCCGCCTCTTGCCTGAGTGATGGCGGTCTTGATGAGCTGCTCGTTGGCGAGGCCAGCCTCCTTGAGGAGCTGCTTGATGGTGTTGTCGTTGATGAGGCCGAGAAGGATGTGGTCCTGTGCGATGTAGGCGTCGCGCTGGGTGCTCTTTTGGTTCTCGGCCTCCTTGAGCACCTTGAGCGCCGGACTCGAGAGACTGATGTCGTCGGGCGGCGGCGTCTGGGATGGGATCTTGCGCAGCGCGGTGCGCAGCTTGTCCTCGAGGATCTTGATGTCGACGCCCGCCTTTGTGCAGATGCTCTTGAAGAGCGACTGGCTCGACTCGTTGGTGGACTGTACGCCCTGCGAGTTGGACGTGTCGTCGGTGAGCAGCGCTAATGCGAGGTGCGCCGGGCTGACCTGTGGGTGGGAGTGGTCCTTGGCGAGCTGGAGAGCTGCCGAGACGGAGGACTGGGCTCGGTCTGTGAATTCGAACGACATGGTGATGATGATGCTAGAGTGGCAGAAGGGTGCCTATGCTGTGGTAGTGTGATGTACAGGGGTATGAATGCTTTGCGAATGGGTATGGAGGTATGCGGATGGAACAGCGGATCTGGAATGGTTGGACGGAGGAAAGGCGTGCGGAGGAAGCCGTGTGGTGTTCTTATACTGCGCTTTGAAAGCCGTGCGCAGCCGCTGATTCACCACATGGCTTTGAAGTTGGAACCGCTGCATGGAAGCGCTCTCTTTTCCCGCAGCCGAGCACAACTTCCGCAAAAACAGCTCGCGAAGATGCGCGAAGAGGCGCCATGCCTCCACATCCCTCCAGCGCTTTCCAGCCGCTTCTCGAAATTCAGAAATCCATCACCAGGCAGCAGGGCGCGTTCTTCCACCGAAAAGCACAAACCCATCTCCCGATTCCGCTCATGCCAAATGACAGATCGCAGCCAACTCTCAGATTGCCTTGCTATCAAGCGAGGGGTCATGTTCATGCATTCGTTCGATTGCTCTAAAGACTAGAAACGTTGCGGCTGTGCGTACGGCTCGTAGCCATACTGAGCGTTGTTGGTCTGCAGTGGCTGAGCACCCCAACCCGGATGCGCGTTGGCTTGGTAAGGCTGCTGCTGCTTGAGCGCGTGCTGCTCGGACAGGTGGAGCTGCGACGAATCGGCCGGAGTGTCGTAGGCACCGGCCGAGTGGTAGGGCTCGAGACCGGTGTAGGTCTGCTTCTCCTCGGCACCCGGCTGCGACTGACGCCACTGTCGCAGATCGCGAGGCAGCAGCGCCAGTCCAGCCAGGTACGCCACAGCAAGCACCGCCGCCCAGATCCACAGGATCCACTTGGCCCATCGCGGCGCGCCCCAGTCCCACAGGCTGAGTCCCTCGCTCGAGTTCCAAATGGCAGCGCCCGTCACGCCGAGTCCGAGCACCACATGCACGATCCTCGACGGGTTGAAGCGCTTCGTCTTGTGGCCTACGGCACCGAGCACAATCTGGACGATCATGAGGATAAAGATGGCCAGACCCGCCTTGGCGTGCGTGCTCTCAAAGTGGCCATCGCCGCCTCGACCCACCTCGACAATGATGAGGATAAAGGCAATCAGCACCACCACAAACGCAGCGATCTGCAGCCCGCGGTGCACGGGGAACCACGTGAACAAGGTGCGTCCGTATCGGCCCACCAGGATGCCCGCGGGCACGAGGATGAACCATCCCAGAATCATCATGATCATGTGTGCAATGATGAGCCTGTTGCTCGTGTTGAGCACGCGAGTCGACGTGGCCTGGTTGTTGGCGCCCGTCGATGGCGTGAGGGGCGTGCCGTTGGTGTTCGAGCCCGAAGAGGACGACGAGGACGACGAGGTGGAAGGCGTGTAGGGCTTGGTGAGATCGAGCGAGAATGTGCCATAGTCCGAGTGCTGCTTCAGATGAGCAGAGGTGCTGGATGCCGGGTTGTTGTTCTTGTTGGCGGCCCAGATAAACGAGGTGGACGATCCGGGCGTCGAGTCGGAGCTCGAGAGCGGGAACGACCATGCCCAGACGGTACCCGAGCTGTTGGAAAACGACTGTTTGGTATGCATCGTGGCGGCTGCGGCCGTGATGGTGGTGACGGGGTCATCGTGGCCCGAGGCGGTGCGTTGCGACATGACGACGTTGCCGGTCGTGTCGACCCAGCCGATCATCATGTTGGAACCCTTCATCTTGTTGCCTGTGCCCACGGCGTACCAGCCGTTGGGAGCTCCACCGCCATCGGTCGACATGGTCATGTTGTACACCTTTTGCGAAGGGCTGTAGATGACGCTGAGGCAGAGATTGGAGTTGCAGCGCGAGTCGGAGAACAGAGAGGATGACGACGACGAGGACGATTGTGCCGAGACCAAGCTGGCCAGCAGCAGCACGCACCACGCAGCGAGCATGTTGGATAGTCGTGACATGGTGATGGTTTGCCCTGGACGTGCGTGCACAGAACAAAAGGCCTGGATGTTTATATATGCGCGCCGGGAGAGCGCGGCCGAGTCCGAGATGAAAGCGGCGGCAGTGATAGTGATGGAGGAGGAGGGACAGGGAGACGCGCACAAACGAAATCAGCCGTGGCTTTCGTCCGTCTAATAAGGTTGGGGCCGGAAGGGCAGAATGAGCGAAGAGGTGGGCGCTTGGATTGCAGAACGCCGGTGGTTACGAGTCGGCGGTGCTGCTGGATCTGGCCAACAGAGGGGCTGTGTGAGGAATGTGCAGCGATAGATTGATCTGGCCTTGCCGAAGCCGTTCGGAAGGGGGTGATGTGAGCAGAGCAGAGCGATACCGTACTCGGCGTTGTGAAACGCAAACGCTGGCGGTGATGACACACGGGAGGTTGCGGTGATGCTGGCGAGATGAGGCGAGATGAGGCGAGGCGAGGCGATGCGATGCGATGCGAAAGGGGTGAGAGCGGAGGTTGGGGCGTGCTGGCATGGTGCCCAGGCGATCCTGCACTGACGTGTCGCACTGTTGACGCTAGAAGAACACTCCGCCGAGCGAGCGTGGGCCGAAGTGCATACTGTCAAGGGCCCACTTGACCGACGCGGGTGCAGTTAGCTGGCAGAGTCGAGTTGCCATGTGCGAGGCGAAGCACGCAAAAAGACGCGCATGGCACAAGCTCGCTCCGAACCCCCCACCACCAACTCGTGGCTAAGCTTGGCTGGCTTTGGCTCTACCGCAGAACGACGTCGCGATTATCGCGCGCTTTTGCCAACGAGTCAGACGAGGCCATGCGAGCCACACACACACACGTGTCTGCAACCAAGTTAGCGCGGTTGTCACACTCTTGTGCCCTGCAACCAAACCAATTCATTCGTAGTCAAGGTTGACGCGGG